GATCGAAAATAAGTCAGTACTCAGTATTTAAGCAGAACTCAGATGACACCTTTAGACTTCTTGAACCCAAAGTGCGTTGATATGTAGCATATTAACGCACTTTGGGGTCAATTTCTCGATTTTGACCCCAAAGTGCGTTGGACCCCAAAGTGCGGTGCGAAGTTTGACGCACTTTGGGGTTGAACCCCAAAGTGCGTTTGACCCCAAAGTGCGGTGTTACAAGGCTATGACAGAATGTTTCAGACTGTTGCTTAAAATGTGCTGTTATTTCAATTATAACCAAAATAAGAAGATATGCACATTGCGCCATTTATCCTTACTGTTGTGATCAACCATTCATATATATGGTTAATATGGTTGGCAATTCATTTTGTTAATATTCCAGAACATTTCATTGAGGTCTACATTCGGACTGTTAATCATGCAAATTTTAAAAAACCTAAACTGGCATTTATAAATGACATACCAGCAAGTATGACGACTGTTCATTATAAGATCATAATACCATTTTGCAACTGACGGTTCCTTATCAAAATATTCTAGGACTGTTCATCATAAATACTTTATGTCATTTTAATATCATTGAATGATAATAACAACTCAAAGTTATGCAACATTTTTATTGTTTATTATACATGTTTACATGTCATGTACTATAATTGTGATCAATAAGATACTGTCTTGTGATGAGTATTAATATTCATGCTCTACAGACAGAAAGTTGTCTTCTCCCGAAGCAAATCTCGAATAAAATCACGTTTCAGAAAATTATTCCCAATTTCATTAACTCGTCGTTGACTTTGACGGCTTCGGATAATATTAAAAGCTAAATATTTTTTGAAAAAAATACATATCTGCAAGCTTATTCAAAATTGAATCAACCTAAGTGAAAATTTATCAGGAAGATATATCTTCTCTTTTTACCGCCAACACTCAACCAACTTATGGTAGTTAATCGATAGATTCTACATGTATTTTTAAACCTCACTAGCTTGAAATATATACTGCGGAAAATCTGTTGTTAACAAGGTGTGCGGTTATTACGTAGGGTTTTCCCTGTCGACCATTTCCCGCAAATAGATGGGAACATCGAAACGTCAGTGCTATGAATGGTGTTATATAAATAGCGTGTTTTGAAGCTTTTTGTTATCCTCCAGAGGCGTGCTCGTCGCAGAGAAGGCACACGGCAGGTCAGGTCAAGTCATCTCAAGTACCAGAGGTGATTGGTTGACCTGTCGTGACTTACGCGCTAATGAATGCCGTTTTTGTTGTAGTCAGTCAGGAAGTTGATGCCTGACGAAGAATGGGCTACCAGGAAGATTCTGCTTGAAAAAAAGACGTCCCCGATGCTTAATCTCGGTCATATAGTTATTCCGGCGCCGAGTATAAATATAACTTAAAACACAAAACACATACACACTTTTGTTGGAAACAAACAAAAAACAACAACACATTTTCTGTAGTAATTTTTCAAGTGTTTAAAATGAATACGAAATTCCTCTTATGCCGCCGATTATTTTTAGAACACAAACATATAAATTCTCTTTATTGATTTATTCAAATAAACATTAATCACTTCAGCGCGCGCAAAAATCGTTTTTCAAATTAAAATTTCATAAGATATGTTGATGAATTCAATATATATATATGCGTTTTTTTTTTTGTTTTTGTTTTAAAGCTTCTTATTCTTTAATTTTTTTTATGTATCTATAATTCTGTATTGAAAATTTAAATTTTATTACCCATTGGACTATAAATTATGATGCGTTTGCCCTAGATTGAATAACTTTCTAATTACACAATACGGTCATTTCATTTCATTGAAGCTGATCTTTGCGTCTTTTTCTCTGAAAATAAATTATTTCCTTGTTCAAAAATTATTTGACCACATATTTCTGTCAATTAACTGTTCACGTGTACTTCCGATTTTTTGTTGTACCGAAACACCATGTTTTTCTAATTTGTGTTTTCTAATCAATTCGAATCTCATAATCAGTTTATGGTCACCACGGTAAACGACTACTAGGTACTTTTGGTCATGTTTTTTACCCCAAACATTTGATGTTTCTATTGTCGATTAAAATGAGCGTAAGTTAACTAAAACAAGGGTTGTATAAATCCCTGACCTGTCTAAGTTTTTAATTATGAGATCTAGTGGAATATATAGTAGACTTTCCAACTACAAAATACTTCCTAAGAAAGCCTGCATCATGATTTAAATTTATTCTTATACAATAAAAGATCAGCATGGGATCTGTCAATTGCGACATTTTTTTAAAGATACTTTTATTGGTAAAAGTTTGTAATGAATTATTAGATGATATTAAGTATGCTAATTTTAATTTTGCTAATGTAAAAGTGTTAATCTTTGTGCTGAAATTTTGTCTGGAGTGGTCTTACCTGTTGTGTATTAGAATAGTTTTTTCGGCGATGACATGGTTCAAGTATTGATGTTTTCAAACTATATGTTCTCATCATCAGTGAATTTTTAGTTAAAATGTATGCAAAATATTTACTTACAGCTATATGCCTATAGCGGTTTAAGAGCGTTTTCCGCTACGCCTTCCTAGGGTGTACTAATAGTTAGTTTTCCTTATTATCCCGCAAGCATGATCCATGTCTCTTGAATGTAAGCGATAGTATTACATTATTTTGTTCTTTAAAAAATATTAAGGACTTTATGCGTTGTATAAACAACACGAAGAACATGCTGATATTAGAATACGGTTGTTGCAATCTAAGAATGACCCGTCTAAACAGTTGTCCTGCGTATACCGTAGTAATGTGTGGAAAATTGTCATCAAATTAATAAGAGAATTTGCCACCTATTAAGATCTTACATATATATTTCTTTATGCTTTTTGTTAAAACAATTTTGAAAAGTTATTATGTAGAAGGAGTTTTCATAAGACTATTTATGCATGTGCGTATGACTAACCTGATTCCGCCGCAGTATGACCTAGTCACGGAGTGTGATTTTGCTGTAAAAATGCCAGAATTTGGCATGAGGAAATATTAATCGTTGACAAATTGAGATATGAAGTTAAAGAAATGAAAATATTTTCATATTGTAAATGTCTGTGATGACTGATGAGTCAGCTTAAAAAAATCAAGGTACTATTTTTTGACCTGATTACCGCGGCAGTAAGATTTGACGAATGGTATTAACATTGGGGAGGCATAGCCTCCCCAAAAATAATCATTTTGATCAATAGCTTTTCGCCATTTTTACAATTTAACAGCTTATAAATACGAGATTCTGTTAAGTTCACCCACTACTGTATCAAAAGCCCGTTCCGTTCATAACCAATACATGCGCAGTAATGTTTAAAATTTTTATAAAAACACTTTCTGAATAAAACATTGCAATATAAATAAGCAATCAACATTACTAAGTCTATCTCAACCCAAACTGTGATCCATTAAAATCTGTATACAAAGTGATCCCTCGGAAGCATTTATCACAACAAAAGTACATGAAAATTGCAGACTCGGGTTGATTAAGTCTGTACATAAAGGATAATGAATAAATGCTACATCCCTTACGCCCTCTAGCACCGACTGGAGCGTTACTCAATTTTCAACACTTGATAGTGCTGGCATCAATGATCCCGAAAGGACCAGAAAAATATAACAACCTGCTGTTGTTTTATATAAAATTTTGAAACAAAGTGATCCCTCAGAAGCATTAGTCAGAACAAAATTACATGAAAATTGCAGATTTGATTGATTCTGTACATGCGGGATAATGAATAAAATGCAACATCCCTCACACCCTCTATCACCGGCTTGAGCAGTACAAAATTTTCAACACTTAAAGCTTATTCAATTTATATCATTAATTAATGTGATCTCTTAAAGATTACGAAAATATCGTTGAAACAACATAAAGGAGAGTATTACCTCAGTAATTTGAAAGTACATGACGTTCTCCCTTCTTAAATATAGGAATGATAACACCTTAACCCTATTACTCAGGAAATGAAATTCACTATTGGCGTCTTATCATTGCAAGTTTTTACAAGATATAAGCACAATAAAATTGATGCCATAGTCACGTGTATTTTTTTATCGACTTCACGATTTTTTATGCCCTATTTAGACAGGATATTGTCTTTCGTATTTCCTTCCTTTACTAAATTAGAAGTCACAACTTTCATTTGTATCGCATCTATTCTATTAAGCAAACCTTTTCCAGGTTTAAATATTTTCATGTCGTGTAAAGGACATATTATGGAAATGATTCAAACTCACATCATTTTTAGCATTATTAGACTTGTATTTTATTTTAAACATACTATGAACCAGCGATGAAATATTTTGTTAGAGAACGTTTTATCCTAATTTCAATTTAAGTTGCATGGCCTTTTACAATTTACTCTAGGATAGGTCACCAAACTTAGAATAAATTGCTTCTTTTTTTAGTCATAGAATTTTCACTAACTCACAAATATTTCTGGTGTTTGGCATGGACCAGAGTTTGGATAACCGGGATAAAGGTCATGGAGGTACAAGCAATTGTACATCACTTTCATATGTTTGTGTTTCATTCGTTTTTAGCCAACCTTTGCTATATTTCATGTTGATTCTCCAATTGCATTCAGAGTAATATTTCATTTAGGTATGGGCATAGGGTCCGTGTTGACACATTGCTGGTTTTACGACTGACAAATTTCTACAACTAAAATGACATTTGAGCCATAGAAATCGATTCAGGACCAAGTTTTATAAAGGCACTTTAAGCAAGAGTCTGGCACCACTTTCTGCTTATACAAACTATTATTCTATTTTGAATGTTCACTTGTAAAGATAACTGGCTTGATTGTTCAACACTTTTGTTTGGCCCATGGCCTGTTGGGGAAAAGAGACCAATAATTAAAGAGAAAGGGCTATCATGCTCATCTGCGCAGTTTGGCCATTCTCTATATTGCTGGTAACTGAATTTCAGTATTTTTATATTAAATACATAAATTGTATTCCTTCAAATGAAAAGAGCGTAATTTGATCTCTTGAATTTATTTATTTATTATTTTAGAATTTATATCATTGATTTGTATCGTTTGATTTATGCAGCCTTGGTAGTTGAAAGTAAAAGTCCCCCACAGTGTGCGTGTTGCTGTCCGGGTTTAGGTGTCTCGTGAAAATAGTGGGCAAGGTTCTGAAATCTGAAATTATACATGTATATTTAGAATTTTCTATTGCTACACACTGAACCAGAGAAAGGAAATTGTTTGGAATACATAAATGTACACTTTATCTTCGCAACATGAAGTTAATCACCTGACTTTGATTTTTTAAATTTAAATCAATTAACTGATATTGCATATCGGCACATTGAAAGAAAACACCAACTTGAATTTGTGTTGAAATAAACAAAACCCCAAGCAAGTTTTTACACTATAAAACTTACTTTATTTATTAGCACAAACAAAGATGTAAAACATTATATGGAAGACTTACGCATGGCACACTAGTGGACATCCGAAGTTCATAACATTGCCTTCTGCTAATAGATTATGACATTCACCTTCGCATGCTACTTCTGTTGGATCGTCACCAACGGCGTCAAGCATGATTTGAACATCACATTTCAAGGATTCAACATCAACTGAAGTAAAATTTATTTTTTTATGTAATTAACAAAGATAAAGATATACTTTTTGTTGGGTTTTGTGTCGCACCAACACAATAGAGGTGATATGGCGACTTTCCAACTTTATTGGACGAGGAAGACCTATAAAGAAATTCAACGATGCATTCAAGTTAACATCATGGGTGGAGGGGGGCATGTTTTTTATATACCTGTGTATTATTTGTTATATATTATGCAGTATTTTCTAGACTGTATTCTGTATGTCACGATCATCAACAAACAGAAAGAAAATCCGTATTATATACAAGTATATTACAAAAATAACTTTATTTAATACTTACAGAGCTTTTCAACTTGAAATGAGCCCACTATGAACCTTCTTTCATCTGTAAATAAAATTGGGAAATATCAAACAGAAGGTCCATGTTGGCCAAAATTCGAACGGTTTAATTAAATTGCCTTTGACCAATCTTTATAGAATTTATCTGGACAATGCTCTGAGATCTGTGCTTTAATTCAGAGGATATGAAATGAAAGGGGGTTTGCTATATATGTCTAAATGTAGAATAGACCCTCAGGTCGAGGCCATCTTACACTCCAGTGTCATGATAGACTTAGTCTAGGTCTACTATTTATTGCTATACACCAACTATCTAAGCACTAGGCTTTGCAATTATGAAAAATACATAGTGTTTTGAGAGAGGTATATTTTTTAAAGCTTTTCCTTTATATCTAAATAATTATTTTGTACCAATATATGAAAAAATCGGTTTTCAAAATGTTGTTTTATGTATGACGATCTATTTTCTTACCTGAAGGAGCGGCAAGGACAGCTGGGAGCAGCAGACAGACGAGGAGGAGCTTCATATTGTACTGTTGTCATGGTAACATAAAACAAATATATATTAATATGTTTATGAACGAGTCGATTAAACAATCAGAACAGAAGAAAAGAGTTATCCGGTGTAAATCAATAATTTTAAAATATTTTTTTCAGCCAGAATGTATATTATACATTAATTATGTCGAAATTGATATTAATGTTTCACAGAGAAGATCCTTGCAAAATCAAATCTATTATTTACAATAGAGTAGCTTTTTTGTAACTAAGCTACAACGATTTTAAGAGTGATATACAATCAATATAACTCATTGTGAAACTTAATTTTTTATATTTCTTTCTTTCTTTATTTTTTTCTTTCTTTGTTTCTTTGTTTCTATCTTTAATTTTTTCTTTCTTTCTTTCTTTCTTTCTTTCTTTCTTTCTTTCTTTCTTTCTTTCTTTCTTTCTTTCTTTCTTTCTTTCTTTTTTTATTCCTTTCATTTTTCTTTCTTTCTTTCTTTATTTTTTTCTTTCTTTTTTTCTGTCTTGATTTGTTCCTTTCTTTTATTCTTTCTTTCATTCATTTTCTTCTTTTCTCTAATTTTTCTTTCTTTCTATTTCAATTTCTAATTCAAGTTTTTTTTTCTAAAAAGTACAGAGTTTATATAAAATAAATATTTCGTGAGAGGCGGTAGCGCAAAAGTCAAATATGGCAACTTTCAAACCATGACATAAAATAAATACCCGCATTTATAGAAAAAACTTAAATTTCCTGTTTTATTATATACTTTTCTCTCTTGACTTTACAATTCTAAAAAAAATCCCCTTTATGTCTGCATTAGAACAAAAAGTAGTTCGGCAGACACTATTGAAAAGTACTGAAACTATGTTTCACTGCAGTGAAATATAATGTTTTACAGAGAAAATACGAATCCTTTAAATACGCATTTTATTTCATTCTTACAATAATATTGAAAATGTCAGTTAAAAGTATATAAATAAATTTCTGTCAACTTTTGCATATTTTTTATTTAGAATGCCCTATTTGTTCTATGTAAGAATTTCAAATTTTGGCATTTGGACCTCAGAGGAGTTCCTTTTAATGAAACTGTTGCAAAAATATATCATGTTCATCAATGTTTTTTGTTTGTTTGTTTGTTTTGTTGTTGTTTATTTGTTATAAATTAGTACGTTCAAGATATTAATTTTACTTTTGAAATGTAATATTTTGTAAGTTTTTTTTTTAAGTCTTACCTGGTTGTGTCACGAAAGTCGTAATGGGAACAGGAGGTTTTCATCAGACTTTTTGTAAAGGCGACAACCTTATTAAATTGACCTTTATTTGTCGTATGATAAGCGCCTATAGTTAGTTATACGTAATTCAAATCACGTGGCATAACTCCTTGTCCTGAACATTGAACTTTATTATGCCTGCAAACAGTTCGCGTAACATTGAAATGATATTCCTTTACTATAAACTTTATCCGCTTCTTTCCGGAGCCACTTCGCGCCTTTCAGATGGTTTATAAATCATGTATATTGTGGGAAGCCGTTGCTCAGTTTCCGTACAGCTTTATCCTTATAAGTGCAACGGTTAAAGCTTCACTGAGAGCCAAATCAAAAGTAAAATAGTTGTCCCTTATTGATCTTTACTCTCTCATATTTTATGTTTTGGTAAGGTTTTACGTTGCACAGTAGATATCATGTGTGGCTTAAAGTATCTATACAGTAAACCTTTTACAATTTACTTTGCACAAGGTTCCCAAATCTAGACCAATTTGGGTTTTTCTTAATTGTCACTAATATCTTAAATATATGGGATGGGCTAGAGTTTGGAATAAACAGCAATTATAGCTATAGTAATGTTTAAAATATATAAATAAGAAGAAAAAAACAAGTACCTACGCGGTGTCGATCTTACAACACGTAGACTATTTAGAAATTATAAAACCATAGTTAACCCGAATGTGCTATAACTCTCAGTATAAACATGTCATGGTCACAAATTAAATTAAATCATATCTTACTGCCTACATCTTACGAAAGTTACTGAAAATCTATCGAAGATAAATATATAAGTGTGTATTAAAATAGATATGCAATTACTGCAGTATGACAGATTGAATAAAATCAAACAATACATCTATATGTAATGTTATTTTTAAGAAGAATTAGAAGAAAAGAACAAAAAGTTTATTTCCATCTTATACACATAGGTTTCAAGTTACAATATAATTAAAATTAACAATGTCTCAATGATAAGGAGCTAATATGTAAAGTATGTCAGCAAATTCAACATAGAAAATAACAAAGTGAGACAACTGTATAGATACACTTTACAAATAATTTTAACAATTATTATCATTAATAAACTTTAACAAAAATCTGCATTAATTTTAATCATCCATCACTCCTAACAAACGTCCAAAGTAAATTTGATTTTATTACTTAAAATAACTGACAATAATGAATAATTTAATGCTTGTACTTGGTAATATTACTATTGATTTACTGTACTAATTGATGCACGTGCTTGGAGAAAACCCACTTACATTTGGTCATTAAAATTTTAACATTACTCCTAAGGTCAGACTTACCAGGCTAATACAAGTTCAGTATTATTTCTTATAGCAATGTATTAAACAGTCCGGTACGAGAACGACCAGCAAGGTAAATATATTTTGAAAAGTTTCTTATAATTATTATTATTTCTAAAACTAATGCTATCAGACTATCTGTTAATATTACAGTCAATACAATCTAGAATTGATAGTATATAAGTATGACCAAATAAAGCAACATGCTTCTAGATGATATTATGTTATGAAAATGAAATAAAAGCATCAAATGAATTCAAGTCTGGTCCATTTGGTTGGTTGTATAAATTAATTTTCTATTACTCCCCCCCCCCCCTTTTTTTACAAAATCAAAATCTACCGCGTTATAATCAATTTATAATAGCCGATATGAATAGGAAATATTAACACTGCGAATCAAGGTAGTAAAATAGAGGAAATACGAATCCCTAAAAAAACACAAAACGGCAAAATTGAAAATGTTGTAGGCTCGATTAGATTGAGCCTGTTTATCGACGGTACTGTCGAGTGCAAACTACCGTCCAAGCCCCCTAGCACCGGCTTAAGCAGAATTCAACATTTAAACAGGAAATGCTAGAATTTGAATTGAGAAACAACCGCAGATGTATTCATATGGCGGTTATCTTAGAACCTTCAATGCGACACTAAATTTCCATTCCATGCGGCGTATGGTCAGGTAAAATGTACATGCGTTTGTCAATATGAGTTGACCTAGTTCTATGTTAAAAAGAGAACGTTTGCTTATTTTAGGCGGATTTTTACTTGATATATTGGTAAAAAAACTAGTCAACAACTCACAGCTGTTTACATTTTTAGTTTAGACAACAATACTGCATCTGTTCTGTCTTTATCCGAAGACTGACAGAAAGAGCCGAAAAGTTGCGATTGAACATGTGTCTTGTATTAAAGGGAGGTAATAAAATTAATAGAAATAAATAATATATTCTTTAATAATGAGTTCTATATTTATATAATTTGTGCTAAAGGCATGAACTATGATGTTTTAGCGCTTGATTACATTTTTTGTCAATTCTATATCATTTTAAAAATTATATTACATTAAAAAAAAGGCTCTGTATATAATCTACAAATAAGCTGTTGAAATTTATCCTCTTATTTTAGAACAATACTATACTTATAAGAACTAGTAAGAATTACGAATTTACGATGATATAATATGTCCATCAGGCTGCAGTACTGCCCATTCTCTTGAAACAGAAAACATGCACGCCCATCCCAATCATAGTTTAATAAGACTGATTTATTATCGGTTTCCAACATAATCACGCATGCTTGCAAACATAATCCATTGAAAACTACAAAGTACGCATGATTGAAATGAAAAGAAATCTATATATTTCATTAGTAAAAGTCACCCTTAAAGAATAATAGAAGATTTTCAATATAAATGGAGAAAAATCGAAAATCTTGTTTATTCTTTATCATGTAAAGAAAACGAAAAGCACTAAGTTTAGAAACAAAATATGATATTTTATGAAAAATTGAGAAAGGTAGTAAAACTAAAACTGAAATAGCAAAGGATTTTCAAATTTCAAAAAGTGAGCTCTCGGGTATAGTGTCTAAAAATAAATAAATGACTACTTTTTCTTCATCAAATGCTCTTCAAAATGGCGGACGATGGCAAAAAATCAGTTTGTTATCTGTAAATCTGTTCGATATAAAAACTCCTGATTTAAGGAACTAATTCGCTATATGTTTACAAGGAATTCCGGATATAAGGTACAGATTTTGAATGTCCCAATGAGTTCGTTATAAGCGGAGTTTACTGCATATAATCTACAAATATGCTGTTGAAATTTATCCTCTTATTTTAGAACAATACTATACTTATAAGAACGAGTATGAATTACGAATTTACGATGATATATGTCCATCAGGCTGCAGTACAGCCCATAACCTTGAAACAGAAAACATGCACGCCCATCTCAATCATAGTTAAATGAGATAGTCCAAGAAATCCGTGAATAAAATAGGGTGAATTGTGCACCTTTTGTGAAAAGCATGAAACTTGGCATGGTGGCAGGAAATAGTATTTCAATTTATTTTAGCCTGGGATCCACTTTTTAAAAATCCAATATGGCCGCCAAAATCCAAAATGGCCGCCATTTATAAAATTTTCAGAATATTTGTGTATTTCAGCTGTAGGCATACCTAGAATAGTATCAAAAAGCATCAGTTCATTATATTACAGATTAATTTATATTCAGGCCTCTGATCCAGGTTGTGCAAATCCAAAATGGCTGCCAAAATCCAAGATGGCCGCCATTTTTTTTCTCAAAATTTGAAAGTTTTCCGCCTGTATTCTTTACAGGTCAGTATGCAATAGCACCACTTTATTATATTACACATTTATATATATTCAAGCCTCTGATCCAGGTTGTGCAAATCCAAGATGACTGCCAAAATCCAAGATGGCCGCCATATTAAAATTTTCAGAATGTAATAGTTTTCAGCTGTTGCCGTCATTACAGAACATTATTTAATTTTACCCATGAAATATGGTGCTATATCAGTAAAATATATTTCATATTTTTTAAAAATAAATATGAAATATAAATATGAAAGTGGGCGAAGTTAAAACTCATATTTATTTTAAGGGACTTCTTTCGCCATTTTGTTTGAAAAATCTGATAAATACAAAACAATTTTTTGTTGAATTTTGCTTCGAAAACAATCTAGAATGATAGAAAATTGTCTGACTAAGAAAATTAATCCGAACACCAATATCTTTAATTCAGTTATTAACACTGTACAGACGTTTAAACAATTGTTTACGTGACGTCACAATGTAGCGCCAAATATCGCGTGCAAAACAAGACGCAATAATATATTACTGCGCGCTGTACAAATGCAGTTGCGTAGCAAGCAATAGGGTTTGTATCGTGTAATCGTTTTTCTTTGATAATGAAATTAAATAAAAAGGTTATTTTTTCGTTTTTCGTGAAATGTGGTATATATTTTCACTCAACATGATAAAATGCCACATATTTTCACTCGCCGTCCCGGCTCGTGAAAATATGTGGCATTTTATCATGTTTCGTGAAAATATACTCCATATTTCACTCAAACAAAAAAATATCCTCTTAGTATAAAATAAGACCAATTTAAAATTATGGTATTTTTTTGAGGCCCTTAAATGGTAACCCCGTTTATTTTGAACACAGATAAATACATACATACAAACATACATACATACAGAGACATACATATATATAAACAAACAAAACAAACACACAAGGTACATTAAAAAAAATAGAAGCCTGTGATTAATTTATAATCTCACTTAACTTTTTAATATATAGTTTTGTAACCTGTAGTCAAAACTATTGTATAAAAAAATTATGGTATTGCATATTTATCTAATTCAAGCCTTTGATCTGGGTTTTGCATATCCAACATGCTTGCCGAAATCCAAGATGGCCACCATGTTGAATTTTTCAGAATATGTTAGCTTACCGTCTGTATTCATTTTCAAATTAGTATAAAATAGCACAAAAACATTATATTACATGTTTTTTAACCAAAACAATATGAAGAAAATTTTTGGGAGACGTATTGTATTTGCCTTCGCCGTCTGTCTGTCTGTCCGTTCTTTTGCATTTAGCTTGTCCATCCTTCACAGGTCAAAGTACATGTGGGATTTCAACTTAACTTTACAAGAGTAATTAGTACCATCCCAAGTTATGGACATCACGGTCACATTCCACTTTGATGCACAAAATGGACGCCAGAG